GGGTGGGGGGCTCGGGGGCTGGAACAGGGCTCCCCTCTGGGCTCAGAGCGGGAGCGGGGGCGTTGGTTTCTTTCTGGGAGTCGCTCTGGAGCAAACCCAGCACCTTCCTTCCAAAACTGGGTTTCTGGAGGGCGTCAGTCCGTGTGTCCCGGTGGGACCTGAGCCCGCTCGTGCTTTTCCCAGCCTGGGGGCAGGACGCAGCCCAGCCTGGCACCAGCTGGAGTTCTGTCTGCGGGGCACCTTGCTGAGGAGCCCGCACTCGGAGTGGTGTTTGCGAGGTAGGGGAGAAAGGAGATGACAACGGCCTTAAGCGGCTTTACGTGGTTTTCCTGAGCGGTGACGTGGACGGTCAGACTCTCCCTTGCACCTTCCATCCCTTCCCGTGGAGAGTAACAGCCCAGGAAACGGACATTCACACACCTTGCCTGCTCTTACTTCAGATTTTGGGCAATTCTGCATTGGCGCTGAGATACGTGGTGTTTGGTGCACAACAGCCTGGGGAAGAATGGATTTCTAGTGGTGGGAAATCTGGATCTGCCCTATTCCTCCTTGAAAGGAGGAACCTGGGACAGGTTGCCCAGAGAAGCTGTGGATGCCCCATCCCTGGAAGTGTCCAAGGCCAGGCTGGATGCGGCTGGGAGCAACCTGGGCTATGGAAGGTGTCCCTGCCCGTGGCAGGGGGGTTGGAACTGGATGATCTTTAAGGCCCCTTCCAACCCAAACCATTCCGTGATTCTGTGATTCTATGAAACACCAGCCCAGCCCCAGAACCCCTCTGATGTCGTGACAGCAACGTCAAGAAAAATATGTTGGCGGGGGCACGTGCGCAGCGTTTTATAGGGAGCACCCAGCTTGGTCTTCCCGAGTAAATCGGTGATGCCGACGGGCACGTTCGACGCGTGTTGTGCAGGGAGTGGGGGAAGAGTTTCGTGACAGCAGCAGCTCTGCTGGTGGGACGGCGTGGCTCTCTGGGACGGGAGCGCGTGCCGGGATCGCTGCGTAGGGACGGTGCCTCGCGTGGGTCAGAGCAGAGTGGGATGTGCTGGGACGTCCATCCGAGTGTGCTGGGCTGCAGAGGGAATCTGCCTCAGTGGCGGGACGTGGGGGCAGGGTAGTTGAGCTGCGGTGCGGGAAGCCTTTCCCCAGTGTTCGCTGGGAGGTGGGGAATTGCCAGGCTGCGTGCTGTTCCTCGCGGTGTTGGGGTGTAGAGGTGTACCAGCTCTCATCTTCCACTCCCAGAAAATACACTTTGGAGCAATAAAGCTGCTTTGAAAGGTTCTGGTGGGGGTTTTGGGCACTTTTTGACTTCTGGAGCTCCTTGAGCCGAGGGTTAATGCCAGCTCTTGCTCAGGGAGGAGAAACGGAACGTCCTGTGGAATTCCACATGCATGCCCGAGGTGCTTTGTGGAGTCGGATCTGTTGACCCCTTCACTTTCTTGTGATCTGCCCCGTGAAGCGAACGCTCCGTGCGAACGCTGGGCCGTGGTGCCGCTTGTCTCCGCGCATCGTGCTGAGCATCATCACGCTGAGTGTCGTCGCGCGGAGTGTCGTCGTGCTGAGCGTTGCGCTGCTCGAGAGAAGCCCTGGATGTGTCCGAAGGCTGAGGGGCACTTGTCACTGAGCGAGTCCGTAATGGATGGAATGACGTGACTTCCTGCTCAGCCCTAATAAGCTGCTTCTTCCCTCGTTCTGCCGTTCCAGGGTGCTGTCGAGCCCATGCAGATTGACGTAGATCCACAAGAAGATCAGCAGAATGCGCCTGACATCAACTATGTGGTGGAGAACCCCACGCTGGTACGTGCTGGCTGAGGCTGCGGGTTGTGGCTCTCGGCCACAGCCTCTCCCTTTAAGGTTTGGAAAAACTCCCCCGTTTCACTGCTCGTCGAGGCGTTTTTCAGAGGTGAGCAGGTTTCCCTCTGAGCAGGGTGGGCTGGGAGCGGTGACCTCTCCTGCAGCTCCTTGTCGTGGCCCGGCCTGCGGAAGCGTGTTCTGAGCCAGTGCCTGCTGCCTGACGTGCTCCCCGTTCCGAGCAGGTTTAATGCCTCGCTGGTTACTATGGGGACACTGGTTCTTTATCTCAAGGCTTCTTCTTGGACGAGCAAGGCTCAGGTGCTCCGAGTGTCCCGTGAGAATGGAATTCTTCCCTTGTTTATCCCCGGGAGGTGGGCCAAACCCACGGAACTACAGTTACAAAAGGCTGTATTTGCTTCTGTCAGCTTCCCCCTTTTTCAGTTGGTGGTCTGAGATTTCGGCCAGTGTGTGGCACCAGCCCTGTAATGGTGGGGGGTGGCTGGTGCAGAGGAGGACAAAAATGTTAACTGGGGAAAGTTAGAGCAATGTTAAAATGAGAGGACAAAGCGTTGGGTTGGGAGGCTTTGAACATCTGCAGCTGTAATTGTTCCTCTGCTCCCTGGGCTTTGGAGCTGTAAGAAATTTGTGTGAGCAGAAGCATGCAGACTGCCACGTGGAGATGATTTTTCAAGGGAAAACTCCACCTGGGATGGTTGTCGGGCTTAGGAAAGCAGCTCAAAAGATGGAGACTTGACGGAGTTATGAGGAGGTGATGGAACGGATGCTGGAAGCGGCTGAGCTGGTTGGCCTCAACAGCAGCACCGGGAGAAAAGGGGAATTGTCCCGTACTGCGCGTTTCCGAGGAAAGCAGAAAGGGATGATCTGACCTGGTGGTTGGTTCGTGGGTGCCGCTGCCCTCCGGGAAGGGGTCGGGGCTGCAGGAGTAGGTGACGGTGGCTCAGCCTGGCCCGTGTTGCCGTGGTGGCCGCTGAGGGCAGGTTTGTCCGCAGGACTTGGAGCAGTACGCGTCCAGCTACAGCGGGCTGATGCGCATCGAGCGGCTGCAGTTCATCGCCGACCACTGCCCGCAGCTGCGGGTGGAAGCGCTCAAGATGGCTCTGTCCTTCGTCCAGAGGACGTTCAACGTCGACGTGTACGAGGAAATCCACCGGAAGCTGTCCGAGGCCACCAGGTAGGCAGAGACCCGGCGCCCAGGGAGCCTTTCCAGCTGGCTCAGACCCACGAGCCGCGGTGAGGGGCTCTGCATGTGCTGCCGGCGCGTTCCTGTGCGGACCGTCCTTGCCCTGGAGCTCGAGAGCAGCGGCGTGTGTGCTCAGGCCCATGGTCTCGTGCTTCTGTGGGAGGTTAAACACATCATCGCTTCTGAAACCACCATGTTTTAAAAGGCTGCAGGTAGATCCTGAGGAGAGGTTGGTCTGTGCAACTGCTCCGGTCTCTACCACACGCCGGTGCCTCCCCTTTGGCAGGTTGCGGAGGCGAAGCCTCCTCTGGCTGCTCTTGCATTCATCAGTTAAAGCCCTCCCCGCCTGCCTTGGCTCGGTTCTTTCCCGCAGGTTGGCTGCTGGGCCTCCTTGACAGTTGGCTGCTGCACCTCCCTGGTGCTGCCGCTGCGTGGATTCGCGGCTCTCTCTCCCACGCTCGTGCGGGTGGCAGGGTGTTCGGTGCTGCGTGTTGTGAAAGGGGGTGTCGGGCAACAAAACCGACCCCCCAGGACCCTCAGAGTGTGTTTTTTCTGTTAAAAGATCGGCAGGGGGTTCGGTGCACGTGGATCTGTTGGTCTGAGCCAGGTGGAGCGCGGCGATGGTGCTGGGCACTGAGCAGACCTGTTCAAACTCTCCCCTTCAGGGAACTGCAGAACACCCCCGATGCTGTCCCCGACGGCGGGATTGAGCCCCCGGCTCTTGACACAGCCTGGGTTGAAGCTACGCGCAAAAAAGCTCTTCTGAAGCTGGAGAAGCTCGACACAGACCTGAAAAACTACAAAGGGAACTCCATCAAGGAGAGCATCAGGTGAGATGCAGAGGGCTCTGCTGGGGCAAGGGCGAGCCCTTTGCTCCTCCAGACACCTCTCTCGGGGTGCC